CTTTTGAAATCTTCTATTCAACTGTTTAGTATCTTGAATTCTTCCTTGTGCTTTGGCTTCTCTGTGCTCCAGTGCAATTTTCAGAGTCTCTTCTGACATCCATTTTGGTCTTCGCTTCCTGTTCTGTCTTTGCAATGACCGTTTGCACTCTTCCTGGATGACTAGTCCTTGGAAAAGGATTGTGATTGTTAACAATGAGCGAATAGAGCTAGGTTTAAATCTATTGTTCATAAGACGGCTAAGAATTGCATTCTACTCAATGACAACAACCAACCACCGCCAGGCTAAAATTGGGCAAGTCTGTGTCCTATAAAGTCTCTTTGAGTTAGAATCATTTCCCTGGTGATAGGTTTGCTCATGTAGCAAGAGTAAATGCTATTTTGTCAACCTTTTGTTTCAAATATTTTACCTGCAGGTCACATCGTAAAGGATAATGGTATTTATCAAACTCAAACTCATTATTGTCCAGTCGGTTTTTCAGAGGTTGCAAATTCCACGGGAGGAGACTGCCAATTTTTCTTCCACAGTACAGCTGATGGATTAAAACTGTTTTTCTTTGGGTTGGCAGTGCAGATCCTTACCCATTAGGCCATTATTTGTTTTTATGTAACGTTGAGTAAGAACTGTCTCTTAGTTGACCCGCCAGAGAATTTTCAGAGGCCGTTTAGTCAGGCGCACAGATTAGCCATCTTTTCTACAGGATGGATTCCAATCGCATACCTTTGGGTTGGCAGGGCAAATCCTTATCACTAAACAGCCCAGTGGGAAGTTGGGTTGCCATCCTAAAAATCCACTACGGGCTCTGGGGAGAAAGATGGGCAATCTCCTCCCTGAGATTTACCTCCTCTGGAAACCCGCTAAGGTCAGCTATGAGTAGGTTTTGATTCAATTCACATCGCAACAATGAGAAGTCACCAAAGCTCCCTACTATTTGCTAGTTATTGTAAAAAAATGTTACAGAATTACTGCGAAGCAGAATACCAGGGTCGGTGCGTAGAGGGCTGTAGAAAGAGTAAGAGCTCTCTTGCTTGCAAAGGAATACACCGCGCGAACACTGACTGACTAGTTCAAGGCTCGCTCCCACGATTACCCGAGCGGGTAGATCCAGCCATCAAGTCCCGCCCACGACTCCTCATCCGCCAATGGCTGCGCGGCCACAGCGCAGTGCAAGGGGAGGAGCGAGTCCCGCGAGGGTTCCTTAAGTAGCGGCTGCGTGGGTGCTGCGCTGTGTCCGCTAGCTCAGCTTTGCCAAGTTCGCGGACATACCAGATCTTTCCCTCGGAACCATGTCTAGGCAAGGAACTGGCGCCAACACCTTTCCCAGGGTCTTCGTCTCCCGGCGAGCTTCGGCAGTGTCCCGAGCTTCCGACCAGAGATCAGCGGAGGAGCCTAATCGAAGAGGTCGAGGAGGACGGAGGGGTGGCAGAGGCGGATGGAAGGACACCTCCGCTGCCTCAGAATCGGCGGCCCCTGAGCCTCAGGAACCGCCGCTTTGCTTTCGGGTGAAGAGCGACTTGGTCCGCTTCGTGATAGGTGAGAGCAGGAGGTTGGGGCGGGGCTTGAGCATCCGCCCCCTCACTTCCCCGCCTCCTCTCAATTACCATATACTTCCGAATACTTCTGAGTCATTTTAAACACCTTTCCATATTTTTTCTACCTTTTCATAAGTTTTGAGATGATATTTTGGGAGAGCAGTTGTTAGAGGGCTTATAGTTAGAGATCTGCGCCCCAGGGAGTAGTTCCTAGTAATTATGACAGTTTCTGTTACCAGCTGTGAGAGATTATTTGGCAAGTTAAAATTAATATTTAAAAGGAAAACAAAACTAATACTTTCTCATTTTAGAGACTCGGTACGTAAAAGTAGACGATGTAATCTTTCTCTGCTGGTATAGAAAGAGAAGAAATGAGAGAAGAAAAAAAGCAAACCCAACTTTGAGCATGTTGTAGAACAATTTTTATCAGTGAAACCAAAGAAGGTGCAGTTGCAATTTTAAAGTAATGCCCTGATGTTAAGTAAAATATTAACAAGCTTGGCTTATATTTTTGATCTAGCATTATGGTAACGTTACCTAGAGAAGTCTGTCAGATGTTTGGACCAGGGTGCAGGGGGTGGGGGGTGTCTTGTTGCAGGCATTTTAAATCTGTTCAGACTGTTGTTTTTCAGATAGCTACATAAAGTCAGGACTATTAACAGTTCCCCCCAAAATTAACATTTTGAAATTAATTAATTAAATTGATCTCAGCACAATTTGTTACAAGAAACTATCTGACTACAGAACATTTGCAGTAACTTACATTTTATTTTTTTTAATTATGTATATTTTATCTGCTGGAAAATGCATTTTTTTCTTTAATACATCTTGAATCTTAACAATTCACCAGCATTTTGCCTGTAAGGTTAATGCTTTGCTTTACTGCTCTTTAGAAAATGAACAGATTTTTGTAGGCTGATTGCAGAAATTTGTTAGCTCCTTGGAGCCTCAGTCTCAGAGATCTAAAGGAAGGATGTTCTGTAAATGAAAGCCATCAAATGTTCAGTAAATGACAAAAATCACTCTGCTCTGCAAACACTCTGAAGTGCTAGAGAGCACCCACTGACATTGATCTGGATGGAATTCGTTTTTGCTTTGGGCTGATTAAAGTCATAGTTCCGATCTTTCTGGAAGAAGAGCTTCTTTCCTCCAACACGATTTGGAATAGAAAGCTTTTGCTTCCCTTTAATAAACTAAATATCCTGGCTTGACCCTAGGAGCTTTTGAGGAAAAGCAGTTAAGTTCTTGTAGGAAAGTAGACAAACTTCCTGTATTTGATTTTTGTGATTTGAATGCTTGCAAAGCTAATTGATTTTTCACTCAGCCATTCATAAACATTATGCTGTTAATGATAATATTCACAGTGTGACTATTCTGTTCCCATTTCCCCCTTGTGATTCCATTTCCAGTAGTGCTTCTGTCCAACACCTTTCTGCCTTGTGATCCTTTAGTCTGAGCAAATACTGCCATTTTAATATAGTTGATTATTCTAAGGAGTAAGTGACTCACTTGACTTATTGTTTTCTTTATAGGTCTGTGTATTGTTTGCCGAAAGTTGGGGCGGGGGAGGTGATTTGTTCCAGATTCAAATGGTAACATAGAATAGAACAATAGTCTCAGGGATGTCACCAATCTTTTTTTAGGTTTTTGAGGTTTGCTCCACATTTATTTATTTTGCCCTCTGTATTCAAGACCTACTGTGATCTCTTTCAGAGTCCTCAGCAATGGTAGCAAGGCACTATCATGTACCGTCTAGCTCTGAGTCATGAAGACTGAGTTTCACATAGTTCATTAATCCTTTGGACTAATTGTTTATATGTTTCTTTGCTTTTTTTCCTCCTTCTTTGCCCCAGACAGGGAAAGACTGATAGTTGCACCTTAGATGACTGCTCACAAAACTTTTAAGACCCCAGTTTCTACTTATCAAAATAGAACATTCTCTTTGTGGAAAATATTATGACAGTTCACTTTTTTTTTTTTTTTTTGCCAGTTCACTTTTGATGCCTTTCCTGGGTAAATTAGCTTTTCTGATTTAAATTTCCATCAGTATATTCCTTTATTTTTAAAAACAGGTCGTGGTGGGTCAAAAATAAGAGACATCCAAAGTACTACAAACACCAGAATACAAGTAAGTGATGTTTATTATATGTGTTCTTAAATCCTAAAAGATTATAGTTCATTTCTTTTTTTTTTTTATAGTTCATTTCTAACCAAGCATTGGGCTCAGTCAGCAACCAAGACCTTCCTCTAATTTCTGCTCAGTTATTACTATAATTTGTAATGATGGTATATGGTTCAAGTACTTTAGATTACCATTCTTTTCAAGAACACAGAGCTATTCTCTGTTCCAGATCTAGGTTTTTTAACTCTTGTAGGTAAAAATCTGTAAAGATAATCCCCATGTCTAAATGATACCCTTTCCAGCTCTTTTCCCTCAGACCTGTGCTGCCAACTCTCACTGAATGGCGACATCATTCACCAAGCTCTTAGGCCAAAAATTATTGTGGGATTTCTTTTTCCTCTATAATCACTGGACCACCAGTGACATGATGCATTACATGTTAGACTGCAGACTGAAAGCCTACCAGTTTGAATCCACCAGGTCTTTTGAGGAAAAAGATGGACAATTTCTTCCTGTAAAGATTTACAGCCTCAGAAACCTGATGGAAGTGAATTTACTTGATGGTAGTAGCTTTGGTCTGTTGCTTGGTTCCTACAGCCACTCACTGTTTTCTGTGCTTTCAAGGTAATTGTCATCATTTAGGGTCATCTTCCCTACCTTTCCTGCATCCAGGCTTATTTTTCTGTTTTCCACAATGACCAAAACAATCTTCCTTTTTAAAATTTGAAAGTTTTCAAATCATA